GCCAGAACAAACAAACAAACAACTGACCAAAAAAAAAAAAAAAAACAACAACAACAACATAAAAACCACAAACTGTGTACTGGGGTAAAAAAGTCTGAAAATCCTGGCTGAGATCAGCTGTTAAATAAAGTGATAGAGTGGAGAAGAGGGGTGGGTTTGGGACTGGGACTGGGACTGGGACTCGCATTTGCGTGGAGTGTGGACCGAATTGACCGGAGGTGAAACGTGGTGAAAAGTCCACATACATTAATTATATCGTCTTCTGCTTTACCTGCTTATTGCTTTTCGAGTTGCATCTATGAAATGTTCTCTGTTCCGTTCCGTTCTGTTCTGTTCTGTTCTTCCTTGTTCTTAGAGCCTAGATTCAGCTATTACAATTCGTATTCTCATTTAGATATAGGTAGTATTTATACTATGCTATATATTGTATATTGCGGCAAATACTTTGAAAAATAAAGTCTTGCTTCACCGTCGCCTCACTTGTTCGTCTGTTTGTTTGTTTGTTCAATTTGAATTTCGATTAACCGATTAATTCATACACGGGGTTTTTGTTTTTTTTTTTTTGGTTGCGATCCGATGCGATTCAATTTTGGCTTGAACCTCCTCGGGGTTACGGGTAGAGGAGGGGGACGGGCTAGGGGTAGGGGTACGGGTACGGGGGGTGTTACGATATTTTACAATTGCTTTTAGTTGGAGTTACGAGATGCGAGAGATTCCTTTGACTTGATTGAGCTAAACTAAGTGTTTGTTTAATCCTATCTGTGTATATACTGTACGCGTACGAGTAGGCCATACGTACAATATGTACATGCATAAGTATCGCTTTAACACTATCGACTAATGGCAATTTCCTTGTAATATGCTTACGTTTTGGTATGGTATTCCTTCCTCCGCTATAATTACATATATTTTACGAGTAAGTATCCTTTAGCTTACGATCCCATCTCCCACGATATTTATACAGTACATTCTTCGCTTTTGCTTTTTGCTTTTCGTTTACCATTTCAGTGTGAGTGTGAGTTTATTGTATGTGTCTGTTGTCTGTTCTGTTCTGTTCTGTTCTCTCTGTTTGTGTGTGGGTTTGTGTGTTTGCGCTTAAAATCTAATACTAAGCCTCGAGAACGATAAAAAAAAAAAAAAAAACAATATGACTGTCCCATCTTCTTCAGTTGTTTTACTTTACATATGTTCAGTTTCGAACTAGAATTATGTGTACACTTACTTCGGCTATAAGCTGTTAAAAAAAATACGCTAAAATTACTTATTACCATTTATTGTTATAATTATTGTTTTTTTGCATCGACTACATGCTGCCGCTACTGCTGCTGCTCCTCCATCCCCATCTCTATGCCCATCCCATCTCTACTTTGAGTTTCATAGGGATATATTCGGAGCTCCTCCTGCCTTTCCCTTACATTTCCATTGGCTAAAATCTAATGCGTCTTTGAGTATGCTGTGTGATGTGATTTTATAAAAAAAAAAAAAAAACACACAAAAGAAAAGAAAAAAGGAAAAATGCATCTACTTTGAATTAGTTGCCAGAATAAAAAAAACGTGAGCGGATTAATTCCTTGTGAGCACATTCATCGGCAATTCCTAATTTTGAGTTAGAGTTCGAGAATTCGAGACAAGGAACATTGTTTTGTAGCCAATTCCTGTTTTATGTGAGGCATTGCAGCTGCTCTCCACTACCTAAATATGTATATGCCCTGTCCCACTCCCTTCCCAATTTCTTAGCCAACCTATGTATTTTTTGTAACTATTTTAATTTGATTTTTGAATTATTTCTGTTGGCAGTGACATTTTGCATTATTGGCTTGGCTTCGTCTGGCTGTGTCTGGTTCGTCATTGGTCGTCCTTTTCAGAGATGCAAATATAAAGATTGAAGTTGTCGAATGGTGATAGTAAGGCTGATCTCTGGGGCAAATGGAAAACTCTTGAGGCATTGGTGACTGTTGATTTGGTCCTTTTCACTTTGGTATTTGGTTTAATTGGAAAACGCAAGACTAATCGGAAAGTAAGGAATGAAGAAATCAGTGATACAGATGACAGATAGACATGAAGATTGCCTGAACTCAAAGGGTGCGCTTCAAAAAGGTTTCTTGGACGGATATTACAATTTGCAGCACAATATGAAATCGAATCGAGACGAATCGAGTCGAGTTCTATGTGGAGTGGATGAATCTACGAGTACGAATGTACATGGTATGTGGCTTGGCTGATGGGGTTGATCCTAGGCTCTAAGGCTACGTAAGTATCTGTGTGCTCGTGGGGCGGGGGGCAGATCGGGGGGTAGCTGGAGTTGCTGCAATGCCTTTGACTTTGACTTTATGTTAGGGAGGAATTGTCGAATCAAAAACGTATGAAATATTATCCATATTATTATTATTATTATTATTAATTATATTATCATTATGATTACAATTGATTTATGTGGCAAAGCATTATCCATTTCTTTCTTTATTTGGGTTTTTGTTTTTTTTTTTTTGGTTTTTTCTTGTGGTTGCGGTTGAGATTTAGGCATATTTTCGTATAGAGAGATAGAGAGAGAGAGAGAGAGAATTATCTGAGTATGCTCTATTATTAGTTGAGTTAATTGATTTATGCTGTGAATGTTTGCTGCTCTCTTTTTTGCTGAATGATCGATAATATTACATATATTTGATTTATATACTATGTGTGTGTGTGTGTGTGTGGTGTGTTTGTGTGTGTCTCTGAGTGTGTGTGTGTTGTTGTTGTATGCATGAACATCATTGTCTTCTCTTTTTATAAGTTGAAAATATTACTCCATGAGTGTGTCTCCGTCTGTGTGTCAGTGTCTGTATCTGTATCTGTATCTGTATCTGAGTCTGTCTGTTTGTTGTTTCGGTTATATGTTTGTATGTATGTGTGTATGCATGTTTGTATGTTTGTATGTATAATGATGCGCGCTAAATTTTCGATCTAATTAAATTATGTAAGTGTATTTTTTGTTTTGTTTTCTTGTTCGGTTTTTTCGGTATTAATGCTTATTTCATGGTATTTTCTCCGTGTTTTTTACTTCTTCTCCCATTTCCATTGCTCTGAACTCTTTCTTGATATTTACTGATATTTTTTGTTCGTTTGGTTTATCTTTTATCTGCTCATTGTTTTTTGGTTTTTTTGTGTTTTTTCTTTTTCACCCCATTTTTGTATAGAAAAAATTCTGTTTTCGGTTTTCATTTTTTGGTATTTTTTTGTTGTTGTTGTAGGTTCTTATTTTTTTTGTTTTTTGGTTTGTTTTTCATTTCATTTGTTTGTGGTTTTGTTTTTGTTTTTGTTTTTGTTGTTCATTTGTTTAGCGGGTAATACAAATGCTTAGAGTTAGAAAAAAAAAGTTGTTATCAATATATATATAATATATATATATACGGATTCATATACATACTATGCATAGAATTACATATTTGTTGTATGCTTGACTTAGTTAACCTACATTCGAATACATGAACACTTCAAGATATCATTGTAATAAGTAATTTAATTGAATTGAATTTAATTTAATTAAACCTTTACTTCTGCCTTCTTCTGCCGCTTATCTCACTTCCGGCTTCCGGCTTCCGCCTTCCGCTTCCTCTCTTATTCCGCTTCCTACGAGTATTCCGCCGCCTGTTCTCTCGCTGCCACGTTCCACTGTATGTTGCGGCATGGCCGAGATTCCATTTTCCGGTAGAGATTAACCTTCTACTTCTCCTCGATCTCCGTCTCTCGTTTTTGTTGTTGTTACAGTATTTCGCGCATCGTTGGTGACTTTGTTGTTGGTTGTTGGTGTTTCTTCTTCGATGCTGATGTTTTGTGGAGCCTACTCTTAGCTCCTCTTATTTTATATTGGGGTTAATACAGAAATGCAATTTTCCGCGGGCGTCGTCTCGACTTAGTTGATGTTTGGTTTAGTTACTGCTGCATGACAAGCAAAGTGCGATGTGCTTTTGTGTGTGTGTGTGTCCGTGTATGTGTGTGTGTTCTACGGGGCGTATGATTGATGCCTAGTGATGTCTGTGTGCTTGTGTCCGTGTGGGTGAGATTGAGATGCTCTGAGAGAGACAGAGCAAGAGCGAGAGCACTGTGCTAACACCCATTTCCCCATTTCCACCTCCTCGTCTGTCCATGTCCTTGGCCGCACACACTCCTTGTACTTGTCCTTTGGGGCAACTTTTCTATTTAATCGCGCGCCAGCTTGTTGCGGCACGCTCTTGTGACTTGTATCCATGTGACACGCGCCCGGACGCAGGCGCTACGTGCATCCGGTTGCATTGTCCGGCCCGGGGCAACTGCCCAAATGGCAGTCCCCGATCCACTTCTTTCCTCTGGCTGCTTTATGCATAGCATCCATTCTTGATTGACTGACGACTGACTGATCGATCACCGATCTCTGACGATCTAGCGACTCTTATTTCTGTTGTTGTTGCTTTGCTGGTTGATTTCATTCTTGCTATTCCTCTGGCTATTCATTTCCCATGAATATTCCGCTTCTGCCTCTGCCTCCGCCTCCGCTCGCACTTTTGGTACAGTTGAGTCCGCTTTGCTTCCTTCTAGTGGTGTGGTGTGTGGCTCGATGGTTGTTGTAGTTATCGTTATTGGTGTTACTATCGACTATCGCCTATCGTTAGTTCCGTTCCGCGTTCTGCTCCGTCCTGCTGCTCAGCTCCTGTCTGTAGCTGGATCTGATCCAATCTGATCTCATATCTGATGTGAGTTGAGTTGAAATGTATGACTGCGATTGCGACTGCGCTGACGATAGTTTTTTTGGTTGTATTTTTTGAAGATACGTTTTTTTAGACTTTTTTAAACATGTTTTTGAACTTTTTCATGAAGCGGCTGCTGCTGTGATCGTTGTACTTGCTGTGGCTGCTGCTGTGGGTGTGGTGTTTTTTTTTCTTGTGGTTTTTGCAGTTGTTTTTTTTTTTAGTTAGTTACTTTTTTGATGGTTTTCAGTTGGAGACGACAAATTGCATTTTGTATTGTTTCTAATACTCCCAATATCATGCATCCTGTATTTCACCTTTCAATCCAGGCACCCTGTGGTGTTGGTTATGTCCTAAACGATTCGCTAAGTCCTGTACAACATCACGAAATATAACTGTATCTATGTTTTCACCTAGTAAATACAACAAAAACCAATCGCCCATCTTCGAACGACGAACGATTATTTCAATAGCGTCACGACGCACTAACCTGCAATTGGAATCGAAATCATAAGTATCCAGGAAGCGAAGGGGAATCCCCAACTCACCTAAATCGCATACGAAATAAGTAGACCCTCATTCGAGGCGAGAATATAATAACCACCCTGTATATTAGCGTTAACATCGTGAGAAACGTTAATAAGATAAACCAAAACCAAAGGAAAATGTAAATCTTCTCGTTAACAACATTTAATGGTAAAATGCAAATGGCGTCGTGTTTCTCCACCTGAAAGATAACAATTGCAACGGATTGCACATTAATGGCCGCAAAAAGAGTTACAGTTACTGTTTTCGCGACTCACCTCCCCACTTGAACCATATTTAAAAAATGTACATTTGGTCATTCTGGGAAAAATGTAAATCATAGGATCCATGCGGTCTTCTTGATCGGTCTCCATATAATCTATCACATCCAGGCCAAATGTCATAAATTCGCCATCGAAAAATCGATTCATAAGAAACATTTGACCTGCAAAGAAACACAAACAGAATTTAGATCCAATTCTCTAACACTCTTCGTTTCGTTCCGTTTCGTTCCGTTCCGTTTCGCACCCGCCCTCTTTGGACTTTCCTTGGGCCATGTAATTGATGGGCTTCCCCCATCCCTATCTCCCTCTCTTTCTCCCTCTCCCCCATGCGAGTTTGGATGCTCTGTGTTAATTCTGTGTTAACAATTTGTAAATTATCCGATTCGATCTCGGCTGAAGGCACATGGTGCCAGCGAACCCACACCCACACCCGAAGCGGGCTGATGGATCAGCGACTGTAAACGATTCGAAACCGAATCAATATACTCGAACTTTACCCAACCCCTGGCCCTCCCACTACCCCTATCCTCCAGTTGCGGTTGCAATACAATTAATTACAAATTCAAGATACTTTTTGGGGGTGTGGGCGATAGATACATCAATTGTTCGGGTTAATTGGGGGCTATTATCCGGAGGTGGCTGTACCCGTGGAGGAAGTTCAATGAACAACAACTCTGTGCGTTGTTTTCTGAATATATATTCATGTCCAAGAACTTACTAGCAAACGCTAGTCGAAGCACCCGACTATTATTCAGTTGCGTACTTTCTATATAAAATGCTAGTTGAAAATCGGGCCCCAACGCCCAATCCGTTGGTCGGACACCTCATAGGTTCTTGGACCCTAGTACATTCCTACCATCCGATCCGAACGATTCTGGATCTACTTCTTGCGTATATGGCTAATTGATCAGCTATATGATCACTATATCCCTCCCGTAAATTGATTGCGGCAGATCCATCACTCCCCTCCTATAGCCGTCACATCGCAGACCAATTAGGCAGTGCGTTTCCCAACGCGGCCCATTGTCTATGGGAGATGTCAGCCATTTTGTGTGGCTTGTGGGACGAAGGGATGTGTGCAGGGTAACCCGCATTATCGGCATTATTATTGTTTATTTCCCATGTTTTCTGACAGTTCATTATTTTGTCAGATTTCGGATTTCAGAGCGCGCGCCCCGAGAACCGAGCCACGAGATAAAACACAGAAAGAAGTACGGGATACACTGTATCTGCATCTGCATCTGTGGCTGTAGATGTAGATGTATCTGTGTTTATTTTGATTCGCGGCTACGGTGCGGTCAGTCAATAAAAATTCGTCATTGATTTTTCGGCAGAAAGAATATCGAAATCGGAACGTGCGAGAGGAGAGTGGATAGTCTCTGTGGTGTTAACCCCGAAAAATTTGTTTACTAAAGTTGCCATCGAGCACTGGCACTGGCACTGGCACGGGCACGGGCACCTGGTATCCCAATTGAGAACAGATCAGGTCAAACGAGAGCAGGCTGATTCATTGGAACATCGTCACCCCATTTCGGGAAGCTAATTAGTTCTGATTGTGGATCAGAGAGCGAAGGAATTGGAACATCATCAGCCCGTTTGGGCACAAGACCCAAGACCGATCGACGGACAAACGAGAGAGCAGATTAGATCTGAATAAATCTACTCAAATCAGATATGAGTAGGTCTAGGCAGATCAGTGGCATGTGAATAGTTATAGTAGACAGATCAGAGGCATTGGAACATCCATCAGACACACACATTGGCGGACCCAATCAGATCTGGTCCCAATAGAGATCAGCAGATCAGATCTGAATGGGTCTAGGTAGATCCCAGTAGATCATCTCCATCCATCCGTCCGTCCATCCGGCCATCCGGCTATCCGGCCATCCGGCCATCCGTCCATCCACGACTCGACTGCAGTTCCGGTGCTGCACTGCTACTCACCTATCACATTTATAAGGGCGAGCAGCTCACACACGTAATATCTGTACGCCCACCAATTGTGATATCTGGAAGAGAAAAGGGAAAAGTAGGAGGAAAGAGGTGGAAACAAGACAATTAGAAGTGAATCAGTGAATAGTATTTGCTTGCTTTGTAAATAAATATATTCGAATGGCAAATCTTGTTTAAGTTTCCTTTGTCTTTTTTCTTTTTCTTTTTTTTTTGCTGAGAAACCGAGGCTGAGTCACGCTCGAATTCGTGGGCAGAATCGTTGATTATCGGGCAGAATGTTTTCTGGGAATTGAAACGTTTTAGCAGCAATGGTCAGGGAAGTGTCAGCAATATATCAGCATTTCGTGGAAATGTTTCGGAATTTGCGAGTACGTTCCCTCGTCTCGCATTTGAGTACGAATCAGATATTGAATATTCCGCTCATCCGAAAGTGCTGATTACTGTGCTATGGACACATTTAAAGGCAAAAGAAACTTGAGGAACCATTTTGTGGGTCTTAATAAATTTACAAGATACATTTTAGAGTACTCACCTTAAATTTTCCCACAAATAATCTAAAAGTAATTTCTTTTTTTGTTTTTTCTCGGCTTCGGAACAAATGCCTATGTCTAAGTCCATGATGAGCGCATGAATCTTGCCACCCTCCCAAGATTTCCACAGCCATCTTGGTGTATAAAATAAGATTGCCTGCGGAAAAATAGAGAGCACCCACAGATGATATAAAGCATATAGACGATGTATGTTTATATATATTGTACGAGAGAGTGAGTGAGAATACATCTGCAAAGGTGAGTTCCGTGGTGGACGTGAGCCCGTGGGCCCGTGTGCCCGTGTGCCCGTGGGCGTGTTGTCGCATTGGAACTGTCGTAAAAACTACAAAAATCCCCGACAAGTGACATTTGCCAGCTGTTGTTGGACGAAAGACGAGAGTAGGGTGGACTCCGCATCGGGTGATTCCAGTTAAACAATGCCAAAGGCATTAGTCGGTGGGGCCGGCGCTGACCTTCCCTTTGCTTTGTCTTTATTGTCTTTGCTAATTCCATAGCCGGCCAGGCCCCTATTTATAGTCATGTCAATTAGCCATGAGCCATTAAGAGCAGTCAGTTAGACAGGGGGCTTACCTACCACAATATCTATCGGACGATATCGGGCCACATCAGGCATCAGACAACAGCAGACAAAAGCAGACAAGAGCAGACATGCCGACAAGAATTCTTTCTTAATTATACGACTAAGTCCGTACGTCGGCGGGATCTAGCTTTTGTTGTTACGCCGGACTGGTGACTGGTGACTGGTGCCTGGTGACTGGGGAATGGGAATGGGAATGGATGCCCCCGACCCGATGACAAATTAATAATAACTTGTATCGTAAATTAGCCGCAGATTCGGAGATTCAGTGATCCCCGACTATTCGAGTCCCCGAAATTGCGTAAACTGTGGGTGTCTGTTTGCTTTGGCACCTCTCCATGTGTCGCCCAGTCGCATCTGGGAGGGATCTCCCGCGCTGGCAGGTGCTAATCCTCTGGATATGTTGTCTGGCCATTCTGGTCCGTTCGATTCGTTGGGGGCTTAGCGGAGCCTTGGAGCGAGGTGAGAGTTCAGTTTGTTTAGTGGGCGCCCGACTGGCGGCTGTCCGGTGGATTTTGGCAGAAGCCCACAAAAATATTTGCACCCCAAACGTCACAGCACGCGCGGTGCTTACATGGGAATCATGCCTCCCTTTCAACCTCCCTCCTCCTACTTCTGGGGTGGTGTGGGGAGGGGAGCTCTGCTCTTGCAACAATAGAGAATTTCAAATTATTTGCCATTGTCGTTCGGTATTCGGCGGGTCTAATTGGTTGGCCGGCCCCAAACATCTGCGGCACTTTGTATCGCTTCCAATGACGGCATTGTATCGTGCCACTCACACTGCCACACACTGAAAGCTCGTGCCCCTGCCCCTGCCCCTGCCCCTGCCCCCACCATGCCTTGCCGGAAGTCAAATGATGCGTTTGATTTTCTTTGGCCTCCATCAACATATCATCGTTGCCTTCGCCATCATCTGCGTCTGCGTCTGCTTCTGCGTCTGGGTCTGGGATCAGGCGTCTGCCCTTTTCGGTCTTCCTCTTCTGGGAAATTGCATTTCCCCGACGACAGACCGAGCAAATTGAGGAAGAGAAAACACCAGACCAGAGTAAAAGGGTGGCCTCCACGTCCCTCGGCCTCGTTTTCGTCCTCGCCCTCGCCCTCGCTCTCGCCTTCGCCTTCGCTTCTGCGCGCCCTCTGCCCCGTGTGCGTGCGTGTGTGGAAAGCAATTTGGCAAGCGTTCAAATTGCCACAAAAGCATCCCATAAATGCAACAGCATAGTGGCAGCAGTGGAAGCAGATGCAACAGCCCACAATCGGAGAAAAAAGAAAGCCAAAGTCCATGTCCATGTCAAACAGAAGTCATTCCAGGCACAGTGGTCTCTCGTTAGAAAAATCTTTAAATTGGGTTCTACAAATGTATGGATTGGGATAAGAATTTATTTGGAAAAAACACCAAAGACCTGCTGAACAGATATATGTGGAAAATACTGCAGGATGGAGGGGAAATACTACTCTAGAAATCATCAATATATTTGCTTCTTTCCACCATTGCTTCTTGAAATCTCCTCACATCCTTGGCCACTGTTCCTAGAGATGTTCGTCTGATTTTCGCCGGGGAAGTGTTTAATTCGAGCTGTCACTGCGACTGCGCCGCTAGCTGAACGAAACTCCCCCCAAATTGAATATAGCTCCAAACCCCCCATCCACACTGCCCCCTCTCCGTTCAGGGAGGACAAAAATACACGCACATAAGTCAAATATAAACAGGCAAGCCGGGCCGGGCCAGACCAGTCCAGGCAGCCGACCGACCGGACCCCCAACTCTGCTGCGACGTCCGTCTGACTTTATCCTCCATCCAGCCACCCCCGCTCCGGCCCTCCGCCGGCAATTTCCAGTTCCCGCTCCCTTTGACCATATTGCCTATGGATGTTCCCGTTCCCGTTCCCGATCGCAGTCCCATACCCATTCCTGTTAGCATATCCATGGCTTTTTGTTTCAGCAATTCCCTGGCATCTGGCCAGAAATATTATTTCACTTTTATGTTTGTCTGCGCCTTTTCAATAAATATCTAGACGTCCCGGCCCGGAGCAGCACCAGAAACAGAGGGCAGGAGGCCAGAGGAGGCCAGAGGAGGCGCTGCTGCTGCCATCGTGGAGGAGAAATGCCAATTTTTGACATATCTGAGGGAAATGCCTGATCGATGGCATGGTATCGGATCGGAATGGAAATTGATGGCTAAGGCTTTTCAATTTTATGGCTGCATTGTCCAACTTAATGACGGATCTGGCCATTAGCCGTCCACCCACTCCTATTCTAGATATCCCATTCGATCGATCCTCTGATGCAGGTGCTATTGACCATTGAGTCTTTACTATTTTACTATTAACGATCGTTTCATATGATTTAATCATATGAGGTGTTCCTCCGCCTCCTCTGGTGCCTCTCTCATGCCACCAATCAGTGATCGACGATCGGCGGCATTTTTTATTCGTTTTTGTTATTAATAAATCGCATAAGAGCAGAACAGAACAGGGCAGAACAGGGCGGAACAGGGCAGGGCACCCGTAGACAACAAAAATTAGGGCTAGGGGAAAGTGTAAATTATAGAAACGCGTCTACGCGTCATTAAGCAGGGAGAATACCATAATAAATGTATTTATAGGAATTTGGGTGACTAGAACGTCTCTATAATCGCTCTGTGACACTAACCGAGAAACGTAGCCCCCTCCCCCCCCCCCAACACCAACCTACCCCCCTGCCACACCACACACTCCACTCTTCCCCCTCCATGAGGGGACACGCTTGACAAAAAGTGTGATAAAAATATACATTTAATATTTGTACATTGTTAGCGGGAAGATATATTGTGTAATCGTCGCACAGCAGCAGAAGCAGCATCGCATCTACATGTATATTTTTCATCTATATGTATGTATGGTGTGTATATATATATACACACTCGTACCTAAACCATATCGTATAGTACTAACTATAGATGCCATATGGGCAGGAGCGACGTCACCGTTGGTGGAAGATGGGAATGGTAATGGGAATGGGAATGGGAATGGGGATGGCTAAAATGGCATCCATGACACAATCAATCTCCTTTAAGCGGTGCCAGCAATTAGCGATGACAGTTTGGGGGATAGAACAGGGGGACATGGAACAGGTGGGGCAGAGACAGAGAGAGGGAGGTAATAGGGTGGGTAGCCGCTCTGACAGAGGAGTGGGGAAAGGTGCCAAGTATACCGAAGATTATTCAATTAATAATTTAATCATATTCAATATTTTGCATACAACATATATATTGTTTATACACATGGTGCTCTTTCTTTTCGGTGTACATCAATGGCCAGTGGTAAGGCTGCTCTGCTGTTCATATTGCCCATCGATATCCAATAAATTAATGGACATTCATCTCTCACTCGGCTCTTGCGGGCCGGCTATCTACGTCACGGCCCCGCACTATCATGGGCTCCATGCTGATTCTGGCGTTGCTGGCGATGCTACCAAATGCCGTTGGCCTTGTATGTGCCCCAAGTGAGATGTTCGGCAACAATAACAAAATGAAAATACAATACTTAAACATTCTCATTTGGCCCACAAAATTGTTTGGCCGTTTAAAAAAGGCCAAAACCGCAAAACACAGAAGAAAAAGTGGAACAAATATTTGGAAATTGAAATGTTGTATTGAAAAGAAATACGTATCCATGTGTGGGAGGTAGCACATACATATATATACTATATATATATATATATATATATATATAGATACATCTCAATGGATCGCTCTCGGTGAAAAATCGCTTAATTACTTAATCCATCAAATCATTCAACGCCCCAAATAACTATAGCCCACGGATTTATGGACTGGCGCGCAAGCGCAACCAACATTGGGTTGGATTTTTATTTGATTCATAGATATATGGATAATGGATGGATAATTCCATAATGGATAAAATCAAAAATCGAATTGCTTGGGCTGGAACTTTTATCTGAAATGAAATTGATTAGATCAGCTTAGGGCTGATTAATTGTTAATCGATTTATCGACTATCCACTGAGGCTGTAAGTCCCCAAGAAACCGCATTTGCTCACCTGAAAGAATAGGCAAAAGCACACCCACTGATAGTATTTGTAGTGCTTTTTATCGGATGCATCGCCATCGGAGTTGCCAATGCCCGGATAGGGCACGGAGACGCCCTGCTTTTTGAGGAACAGGCTCTTGAGCGTATACGTTGACTGGATCCAGCAGTAGGTGTTGAGCACATCCTCTGGAATATCTTTGGTGTGTACACAATCGATGGGGTTGCCCACATACTGGCGTGTGGTTATAATTAGCGAGAATGACATCAGAATCATCACAGATATTGAGTAGTGCAGGCGGAATACTATCGAATCGGTTTTAACGTGACTGACCTTTACAAGGTTTTTCAATCCACGAAATATATCTAACATGGTTTGTGGGGGCAGGCTAGCGATCGCGGATTGGTCTCACTCTCCTCTCGTTTCGCTTCGCTTCGCTTATCTTGCTGCTTTCTTTCTTTCCTTCTTTCTTTCGATAGAGTTCGCTATCAGAGTATCGTGTTGGTTGTTATCGTCGTTGTTATTGTCGTTGG